TTTTTTTTTACTCAAAGTGAATAGAGCTTTGAACATTCTCTTAACAAATTAGTTTCGTTAACATTCGTATTATTTTCAAGAATTTACCGGGGTCTTTTGGTAAATGTGTCACAAAGCAACACTTGTATTCTGAATATAAATAATGTCGGTGGAGAACTTGGAAATACTGAAACCTCAAGTTAAAATGAAGTGTGTTATGAAGACTAACTGCTTTAGGAATCTCACCTCAAAACATATCTGCGAGACATGTAGTAAATATATATATTTTTTTTAATTTAGGAATTTCGATAATGCCATAACTAATCGCTAGAAGAAACTATTTATGTACATGTGACCCATACTTATTTTATTATGTAGCTCATTTTAAAGGGGAGGGGGTTGAGTATGGTTTGAAAATAACTTGTGTCAAAACCAAGCTAATTGGACAATCTTTTTGAGTACTACCTAAACACATATACTCATCATTTGAACATTCAAAAAAGCAGTAAAGTCTGTTTTACGAAAGCCAAGTCTGTTTAACATTTTATTTACGCCTTTACACTTGTTTTAAAGTTTGCCATCTTTTTACATTAAAATAATGCAATATTTTAGCCGCTATTAATTTCGCACAGAAAAAGTAATCATTTGACCTAATGTGCATTGGCATGATCAGGTAATGTTGAACAACGACATACTCCACTGTAAAAATGTTTAGGTACATACGTACATATATATGTACATATGTACATCTATGTATTTAGATATATTCGTACTATGTACAGGGTAATCCATTTTCTCATAGGGAAAGTAAAGTTAAAAAAAAGCGGAATATTTAAATGTCCATAGTACTTTTATTTCAGAACAAAGTTTTGACTATTTGCAGGACTTAATCCTTTTGAGATAATTTCCGACGACTTTTTCACACAATTTGGGCAATAACTTCACGTACTAATATTGTCCTCCAATTGATCCACAATTTAGGCGTTGTTCGCGGTTTCGCGCCAAATCTCGAAATCACGTATACTGCAAATCTTCCGCGTAATTGAGCCGTAACTGGCGGAGGTTTGTGTGTGCATGTGGCCGCGTTTTTTTGAAACCACATTTCTTCCAGAAAAATACATACCCAATTTGCCAAACGACTTCGTAAGGACGTCTTCTCCGACTCGTTCTGGTGAAGAATTTGTTCGCCAACGACTCGCCGTCGGATGAAAAGCACAGTTCGTCGGCGGGTCGCAAAAACGATCTTTAATAAAAACCATATAAATCCAATTTCAAGCTGTGTGCAATATTTATAAAAAAAAATGCAATCTAAATTAAAAGAAAAAATATAAAGTAGTTTTATAGCTGTGAGTGAAAATTTTGTATGGAAAAAATGAATTCGATTTGACGTCGTTTCGAGTTCACCCAAACGACTTCACCAGACCGACGTCGCACAGTGGGGCAAAAAAGGTTGCTGTGGTACAGAGATATATAATATCAACGCCAAACTCATGGGAAAAAATGGGAGTTATTGAAAAACGGGCGTGGCACCCGATGTACAAACTCAATTTCTCACATTAGAATGTGTATGGGATGTGAGAAATTAAGTTTGTATTGGAGGTGCCACGGCCCGTTTTTCAATAACTCCCATTTTTTCCCATGAGTTTGGCGTTGATATTATATATCTCTGTACCAAGTTGCAGCACTCTACGAAGAATACTTCCAGAGACATGTTGTGTGAAAAGTTCAGTTTGTATGGGAGGTGCCACGACTTCTTGATATACCAAAATTGCTTTTTTTCTATTATCATCCCTAGATAGTCTTGAGTCGATGTACAAAATTCCAAAAATATAGGTGCAGCTGTTCTCAAGTTTTTCGAACAGAAAAAAAAACGAAAAAAAAACGGCTTTCAAAATGTATATTAGTATAGATAACAAACAAAATGCATCCTTTAATTAAATGCATCCTATGGAAAAATGTTTATGAATAATTTTTAAAATAATTGCAGACATTTGAAATTAATTTCAAGTATTTTCCAAAAAAGTGGAAGCAATCAAACGTAAAAATTTTTTTTCTTCCATTTTTCAGCATAGATAACTAAAAAACTA